CATCCTTGGTACCACCACAGCATCCTGGGTACCACTACAGCATCCTTGGTACCACCACAGCATCCTGGGTACCACCACAGCATCCTCAGCCTGATGATGAACACGCAGCCCTGCTGCTGCCTCAGCTCCAGCTCCCTTTCCCCAGAAACGTGCAGGGATTCAGGGAATGGCACCAGGTTTCCCTTCACACACTAACCCCCCTTCCCCCTTCCCCCATCCATGTATTTATTCCCCATGTCACAAAACACCGGGATTCTCGGAGCAAACAACCGCGACGCCGCACCCGAGCCCCCTCCTCCCCCGCCGTGGGAACACGTTCCCGAGCTCCCGGGGTGGGAGCAGCCCTTACCGCCACCACGCACCGTCCTTGCGGGAAACAACCACCACCGCCAGCGCCGGGAAGTTCTCCAGCGAGCCGGCCCCCGGCTCCCCCCGCGGCTGGGACGGCTGCGGGATGCGCGGAGCCCCCGGGCACCGGCCGAGCCCCCCGGGAGAGGCGTCATGGCTGTAGCATCCCCCGGACACGCAGCGCAGGGCAGGGAGAAGCACAACCAGCAGGAAAACCGGCTCCCTGTTGCGTTTGGATCGTGGCTGCGGCGCAGGAACCCCGGCGAGGCTCGGCCCTCCCCGCTCATGGCACCCCAAAAAAAAAAAGGAAGAGGAGATGGGGGCATCTTACCGCCCTGCGCCCGGAGGAGGCTCAGCTCAGCTTCCCAGCCCCATCCCGGCCGGACACGGACGGTGCCAGGGCTGGGGAATCTTTCCAGGGTTCTGGAGAGCCGGGGCTGTGCTGGCGCCGCTTCAGCATCTCCCTCAGCATCTCCATGGTTACCCGGCTGACCCAGTTCTCCTGCCAGCCCCGAGCAGGGGCACAGTGGTCCAGCGGGGTGGGATGTGCCCTGGCGGGGCTGGGGGCATCCCTGTGCCAGGTTTTGGGCGTCTGATGATCCCACTGAATCCCTGAAGACAGATGTCGTGGAGCTGCTGGGGATGGCCGGGCTGGGAAAAGTGGGGATGGAGGCAGCACGGGGGGGGGTCAGAGGTGACCCCAGGAGCGGATGGATCCCAGTGATCCGACAGTACCAGGTGTGGAAAGGAACAACCTGGGGCTGTGAGGGAGCCCTGGCCCCAAATATTCCACGGGAATAGAAACGAGGGGCAAAATATTGACGGGGGAAATTGGTGCTTTGGAAAAGGCTCTGGAGAAGGGGGGAGGAGCCCAGCAGGTGCCCCCACACAGGTGGGAGAGGGCTCCTGACAGGGGGTGGGGAGAGGAGGAGGAGGAGGGTGATAAATGAGCACAGTGGGGGTGGCTGGGATGCTGCCTTGCCAGGGAAGGAGGCAGAGGGATTTTGGGGGCTGTCTCCTCCCTTGGGGTGGGTGTTCCCAGGGAGATTTGGGGTTGGAAACCCCTGGCAGTGGGGCAGCGGGTTCTTCTTTCCCCCCAGACCCCTGTGCTGGGGCTGCCTCGAGCCTGGAGGGAGAGCACTGAAAAGTGCTGATGACTGGAGCAGGTAGGTCCTAAAATCAGCGTTTTTAGGGGAAAAAAAATCTTGTTAGAGCTTCCACTTTGAGGCCCTGCCAGTCCTGAGCAGGCACAACACATCAGGGCAAGCCCCAGCAGCACAGCTCACATGGACATGCTCCTGCTTGTATTCGGGAATAAGGCAAGGGCTTATTTCCCCTAAAAGTACTTAATTCTAATTAATTGCTTCAGCTCTGATAGGCAGTTGCTCATATAAATTTAATTGCCCAACAAGGGGTATAATTGAGTGCATGTGAGCTGAGAACCTGGAAGTAACTCCAGGTACTGGAATTAAGCATCTCATGGCTCAGGATATAAAAGTTATATCCTGGCTGGAACACCAGCTCCATGGGAAACAGAAACCTGGAAATGAAAGGATGGGTCCAAATGTGCTCCAGCTGTAGGACAAGTGGAGGGGAGAGGTTTGGATGGGGCCGTGCTCAGGGGTCCCACG